TGAGTGACAAAAATGGAACCTTCTAAACTTGGACCTGAGTTTAATTAGGGGTGTTGGGCATTCTTACCTGAAATCACAAGAGAAAAACTGAAGTTGTTCCTTCATTTGGGGTCTGTTTATTACCTATAATTATTCTCCCTGTTCAAAATTACAATTGAGGATTATTTATATTTTTCTCTTCCCCCTTTTCCTTTTTCAGTCTCATCAAGAATTATTTATTGAGCATCTATTATGGTCAAAATACTAAGCTAAATTTTGAGAGAGCCAAAAGCACAATAGAATTGCTCCTCTCCATACCTGTTTGGGCAATTTAGTTACATAGGGGAGAGAATAGCCATAGAATAGCCATAGTAGAAGGTAGTTTTTGATGATGAATGCCAGATGAATTTCTATATAAAATGTTCTGAGTTAGCAGTTTAGTAAAAAAGATTGAGCCTGTAGTTCCCTCTAATTGGTGAATACACTTTATCTTCAATTTTCCCAAATCACAGCTGCTGCCTTGATCTACCTTTTTTTACAGGAATTAAAATTCTAAGGTGTCATCTGGAATTTGAGAGCCATGCTCCATTAACACTAATGAGTGACTTTTGGTTAAATCTTCATGGATCAGGTTGAACATCTCCCTGTAGGTATTGGTTCACATTTCATTTCGGTGGGCATCACACCAGCCTGCACTAAAATTGTTTGCTTCATTTAACCAGTAAGGGTGTCCAACAAATCTATGATTTATGGTTTGGAAAGTATCCAGCTTAGTCCAGGTTGTTACTGAAAATTTCCTGGTTTTTTAGTAGTTATAGCTTCACGTTCAGGTCAACTACAATTGTAAATTTCCAAGCCCTCCTTGTTTCCTGTAGGACTTAGTTAAAAATACTTTGTATATGGGCTGATATGACTTTAAAATGACTGTTCTAACAATAATGGAATCATATAAATTTACTTCTGAAAGCTAGAGGTTTAAGTTAAACATCCATGACAATTGAGTTGCTGGACTGTGTATTTTTGTCATTGTAATGATTTGTAAAATAACCTTCAGATTCACAGGCATGTGGGTAGGCAATTTTTAAAGTTTTTTCATGAAAAACCCAAGGGACCTCCAAAAAAATCATTATTTCCATTTCCTACATAACTCTGAATAGTGTTTATATTAATTGCATCTACTTTGATTGCAAATTTAATGTCAGGAAACATTGTTGAGATGTGTCGTTCAAGGTTAATAAGAAGGTGTTCGGTCATATCATTTAGTCATGAGCCACAGCTTGAGGCCTCAGCCTCCCACCGCTAATGAATTTTCCTCTAAAGCTCCAAGATTTTGGAACTTTGAAGTGCTGGGGGTCGAGGGTGGGTCTTTGTACCTGTGTGTCTGCCCTTTTGTTTGGGGAACTGGTCTTCACCAGCATTTTCTTAACAAGTGAAGTCCCTATTGCAGTGTGACTGTTAGATTAGGAGCCATTAATAATTGGCAATTTGTAGCTGTCATAATGATGCTGGAGACTTTCCAGATGGCTTTTCCCTTTCTCTCTAGAAGAACGAAGCCTTATGCTTATTCCCTTTGATGGGATTTTAATCAAGCAGACATTGGTCATGACCCTTGACCCATAGTAGTCTGTCGGCTCATCTTTGGTCTGGGGACAGGCCTGTGTCTTGTGTTCCCTAGGACAGACTCACCTGCTTATCAGAGCTTTGGCTTTCTGATAAAAGGACAAGGCTTTGGGAGGGTAGGAATCGGGTATATCAGAATGGAGGGGTTGGAAGTATTGGGGTGTTGCAAGTATACCTTTGAAGGGAAAAAAAAAGAAAGAAATGTCCAAGTGAATTTTTGAAATAACTAAACCGGTTGTGAAGGGAACAACCGGAAGCTAAGGGCATTCTCTTTCCTTTGGGCCTGTCTCTGTACTACTCGCAGGCTAGGCACTTAATATAAGTGTAGATTAGGAACAAAATGAGAGTTTCTGCTATTAACTTTAATAGCTAATAATTTTCTCACGTCCAACTTTGTTCCCCTTCTTCTTCCATTACACCTCCCACCCAACCTTAAGAGAAAGAGAAAAAAATGGAATTTTCTGTAGAGTTTTATAGTTAATGTTACCTGAGCAACATTATGCTTCAGAGTAGGGATAGTGATAGGTGGGAAATATCTTTCCTGGGGAAGTGACGAAGTTTCCAGTGTCAAGCTTCTTTCTGCCTCACGGTTCTCGTGCCTGGGCTGCCCTTTGACTAAGATCCTTGTCTTTGCCTTCACTGAGGTCTCTGCTTGGAGAATCCCGCCTTGCCTGCTCTCCCTGAACTGCTCCATCTGAGCTAGAGTCTCCCTCCCTGGCCCACAGTCTCCTCAGCCCCTTCACAGTGCTTTCTGCTCCATGGCACTCATTGCTCTCCGGGAAACTGCCTCTCCCACCAGAAAGTAAGCTCCCTGAGCGTAGGCACTGTGTCTTACTGCTGTACGCTCAGGGTCTCGTACCTGGTAGAGGTTCAAAAAATATTTATCGAATTAACGTATTCATTTCTCACCTTAGGCTCTGTGTGTAGAATCTGAGTCTCTATAAAAATGCTGCTCTGCTCTGCCTGTTGCGTTATCTTAGATGTGCTATTCTAAGATGTGCGGTTTTTCACATTACTGAAATTGGGATACATATTAAAAATACAGATTTAATTAGGTGATGGTTATCACCCATCAAAGCTGCAACTAAATCGATATACATCTTATAATTAAATGTGCCTTAGAATCAAGGACATTGTGGTAGACAGAATGCCCTCCCTACCAAAGGTGGCCATGTTCTAATTCCTGGGACTTGTGAATATGTCACCTTACATGGTAAGAGGGACTTTGCAGATGTGATTCAGTTAAGGATTTTAAGATAGAGAGATTACCCTGGGTTTTTCAGTTTGGCCCAATGTAATCACAAGGGTCTTTATAAGAGGGAGGTAGAATGGTCAAAGTCAGAGGAAGATTTTATGATGCAAGCAGAAGTGGAGTGATGCAGGACCACAGGCCGAGGAAGGCAGCCTCTAGAAGCTGGAAAGGCAAGGAAATGGATTCTCCCCTAGAGCCTCCAGAAGGATTGTAGCTCTGCCAACCATTTTAGACTTCCACCTCCAGAACTATAAGATAACAAATCTGTACTGTTTTAAGCCACTAAACCTGTGGTGATTTGTTATAGCAGCTGCAGGAAACTAATACAGGCATGTTATTACAGGCAATAACATGTATTACATTTAATCTCTCCAACAAGGAGGGGTGAGAATTGGTAGATACATGTCTGGCATCTCTGCCCCTCAGTGGGAATGTTCTGAGGCATGTTTCATGCAATCTCCCAGAGGATCCCCTTCAAGATTGAGCCCTAATTGCTCACAGCACTCATTAGTGACCCTATTATTGATTTGCCATGCTACCCTGTCTTCAAGCTTCCTGGATTACTTCCCAAATAAGCCTTTTGCACCCTAATCCTCACCTCAGGTTCTGCTTTTGGATGAACTCTAACTGGGATATCACCCTAAGCTCAAAGCCTTGGCCCCAAGCATCTGGACCCTGTCTTCTCCTCTCTCTTCATCCCTGCTACCCTCTCTCGCCCACCAAATCCCACCACACCAGCCATTATTCAGAATCTAATCTGTTCCAAATTCCTGCTTCCCATAGGTTGTTTGCACTTCTTCCTCCTGCCTGAATGCTTCTGAGTTGTGTTCATCCTTTAGGTTCCCAATCAAATGTCACTTCCTCATGGAGGTTTCCTGGCCCTCCAGACTATGAATGTTTTTCCTGACCCTCCTGCACTTTTCTTTCATGGCACTTACAAATGAAATGAGTTAATTATCTTATGGGAGGACGATTATCTGTTTCTTTGTGGGTCTCGCAAAGGACTTGAACACACTAGTATCACATGATGTGGGTGTCAGGTAAGATTTATGGGAAACTCACAGGCAGAAGGGACAGCATGGTGCATATGCCCCCCTCCTCTCAGCTGCTAGCTGAGATGCGTGCTGGGCTAGGCACAGCTGGACAAATCATGGGAAGTGCTCCAAGAGAAGGCCCCTGCTGTGTACCACTGTCCGTATTTATAAGGTAACTGGGAGGAGACAGGGGACAGCTAGTGAACATGTGATAGTGGAAGCTTCCTGGACAGAAAGATGGCCTTATTGTACCAGAGCTTAGCTGGAAGTATCATCCTAATTTTTTTTTTCTTTCTTTCTTTTTTCTTTTGTTGAAGTACAGTTGATTTACAATGTTGTGTTAGTTTCAGGTGTACAGCAAAGTGATTCAGTTATATATATATATAGGTAGTATATATATTTTATCTATTCTTTTTCAGATTCTTTTCCCTTATAGGTTATTATAAAAATTGAGTATAGTTCCCTGTGCTATATAGTGAGTCCTTGTTGCTTATCTATTTTAGATATAGTAGTGTATGTTAATCCCACACTCCTAATTTTCCCTTAATTTTTAAGTGGAGAGCCCCATCAGTTGAAAAAAATGTTGAGTTCACACTTCCAATATATGTATATTTATTTATGTTTGTACATGTTTTCACTGTTAAGCTAAATGTCAAATAGTAGAGAAGCTGAATTTCTTTATTGAGATAAGCATAAACAAAATAAAAATAAAATACACAAAAATTGAAAGAAATTTAAAAAATAGAAAATTGTAAAATTTCTTTGCATGTTCTAGTAGATCATTTTATGTGTGTCCTGAGTGCACACACCACAAAGTGGAGATTATTGCTCCAGAGCAGTGCTTTTCTGAGGAACAGATCCCCTGGGCGCTGGTTAACATGCAGACTCTGATTCAGCAGGCCTGGGTGGGGCCTGGGATTTGCATTTCTAACCAGCTCCCAGGTGATGCCAATGGAATTGTTTTGTGAACCACACTTTGAGTAGCCAGGTTAAAGCCTCTTGCTGTCCAGAATATTCATAAGCCACTGAGATTTAGATGCTCAGATTAAACAGTGATATGGCATCTTCTGTTATTGTGGAATGATTTTCTCACTCTCATGTTTTGGTATTTCCAGGTGGAGTCCGTGGAATGTGTGTGACCTTCACCGCATTGTTGAATGACTGTCCATCAGAAAAAACAAAAAGTGAAGGGCCACTGGGCAAGGTAAAAGTTTGTTGACTCTCCATTTCTCTTGGCCTTTAAGATCTAATTATCTATTCTTATTCCTCCGAAGGGATTGCAGAAACACAATGAGCCCCATATGGGAGCAGGCTCTATGCCGGGTGCTTTCCATGTGCCATTTCATTTCAGATCTGGCTCTAATGGCAGAAACCAGTCTGAATACAAAGAAATCTGTTGTGTATGCTTGTGTGTGAGTGTGTGTGTGTGTGTGTGTGTGTCTGCGCGAGTGTATGAGAGATTGAAACAGAGAGAGAGAGAAGGGGGAAGGGCTCGGCTTTCTCTTCTGACCCTCTGTCTGATCTGTTGTGAGTGCTGGACCAAACCATTCAAACTCCCTGTGCTCAGGGATGCAGTGAGGATTCCCCAGTTAGTGACAGAATCTGAGTGATTTGTAGGCATTTGTGTACTGATTGTCTTGCCCTCTAGGCATGAATTGTGTTGTATCAGGAGGGCAAGAGGGTTCCAAATAGATTTAATATTCCTTGTATGAGCTTCAACCATCTGCCCGCCAGCTCTCAGTGTGAACATAATATATGTTTCCAGAATCAAACACAAAGAATCTGTTTTTTTTTTTTCTTTTTCCTTTTTTCAAAGGCTTTTAGTTTAGTTCATTTGTCTTTTCCTTGTCTTTTGGGGTAGGTCACTAGGGTCATCCTCTCTGCAATTTATTTACTTTCATTTTGTTTTCTGATTCCTTTGGCATAGTGAAATAAATGGGTTTCCCTTTCCCAATTTCCATGTACCCACTACAGAACTGTATCCTTGAAATTGGTGCATATCTATGAAATCTTGTGATGCACCTATGAGGTGGCTGGGATTGAACTGCAGGCGTTCCCAATGGGTACAGTTTAGACCCTGGACGTCTGAAAATTCTTCCCAGGCTAAATCTAAATGCTGTTCTGCTGAGTGATGAAACTTTAACATTTTCCCTTCTTTCAAGGGAAATCTTGTGACTGTTGATGGGACTGTCCTAGTAGCTATAACTCATTGAAGGACTAAAGTTATTTGGGTGTTGAGTGTCTTTGTCCTGGAACCCTTGTGTCAGTTAAGGTAATTGACATATGGGGATCTTAAGCTCTGAAAGAGATGAAAATAAGTTAAAAGCCAATCAAACAGAGTTCTTAACTTAAAATTTTACTTAACTTAGAGAAATTTAGCAGGAGATCTGGGAAGTTCTTTATGTGAAAGTTGGGTGGGAACACAATTAGAACTCTCCTAGCATTACTCAGCAAGCAGGTGTTAGGCACGGAGTGACTAGTGGAAAGTGAACTTGTAATATTCTCCTGTAAAGGCCTCAGGCATAGGGGTCAAAATTCTTCAGTTTTGCTCATTTTTATTTAGTCAGCAAAATTTGCATTGTTTTGCATTAGACAGTGTATATTTAAAAACTGCTTCCTCTTTAAATGCATTTCACATTCAATTCTTCCTACAGGAGAAGGCTAAAAGAGCCCCATCCCTTGCTGCTCTTCTAGTCTATGATGATGGAGTGTAGGGGAAGGATGTGGGCTCTGGAGGACTGCCTGCATACCTGGCCAGCCTCCGTGTCTTTCTAGCTATGTGACCTTGGGAAGGAAATAAACATCTTCGTGCTGTATTTTCCTCAGTTGTAAAGTAGGGGTTATGATAGTGTCACTCAAAGGAGTTGATGAAATGATCAAATATAATAATGCATAATAATATCTGTAAAGCGCTTAGCACAGTGCCTTCCACAGAGCACCATGTTGGGTGTTGTTACTGTCATTACCATAGAGATGAAGGCTGGAGAAAATTGGGAGTGTGGATCCCCAACATGACTTGTGCTGTTTGGCTGTGGAAGATGTCTGAGACACCCCTCTGCCCGTGGAGAATTGAGAGGTCAGGGCTGACAGGGGAAGGAACAAAGGAAATAGAAATAGTATTTTATTTTTTTTAAAAAAGCTTTGGTTTAAATATGTGGCTCATGGAGGTGTGTGGTTGGATGGGAACCATGCTTTCCTTCCTTTCAGGTTGGTGCAGGCTTAGCCTTGCCCTCTCCTCCTTTCAACCTCCAGGTGTTTAGATTTGGTCTGAATTTGAGTCATTTTTGTTTTGGTTGTGAGACTGATGGAGCCCTAGGGGTGACCTTGTCCAGAACTCTTTAATCTGACTTAGTGTCTAATGCAGAGCAGATCTGGGCCTCTGTGGATAGTTAGAACTGAACCAGCCTTTAGGGGAATGGTGTGATTTGGGCCAGAGCCAAGAGCCTGTCCATTCACTGTCCCAGCTCTCTTTCATGTGGACTTTTTAAGGACATCGGCCACACCAATTAGGATGGACCAGTCAAAGAAGAGATTTGAAGCAATGAAATACAAACAAAAATGGTGTTTGCCTCAAGCCTCTTCTCCCCCTCACCCCCCATCTTTTGGACCTTTAGCTCTCTGGCTCCCATAGGATCTCTTCTCAAGTGTTCAGGTCTATCCCTGCAGCAGCTCTGCTCTTTAGTGCTGGCTCCCTCTCTCTGCTCCATTGTTTGTGCCCTCTGTGGCCACCACTGCTCACGAGGTGGTGCCACGGCCCTGGCCTTGATGTTTCTTTGCCTGGTCTTAGCTACACTCCTGCCTGCTGCTGCCCATTGGTGCACTTGGCTTCAAGGATTTCATACCGATGCCCCACTTCCGTCCCAAGTGCACTTTGGCTCTCCACCCTTGAGCCCTGATTCCGCAGGGTGTGGCATAGCCTTGATGTCACTGTGGGTTTTGTTGTCATTATGCAGTATTAGTCCCCTCATTGTCATTGGTGCTAACCTAGGCACTCCCACCATTACCATGATGAACCAGGCCCTTTCCCACAAGTATAATGACACTTACATTAAGCCCCAAACTGGGGGAGGTACAACTTATTCTCTTAGTCTCTTACCACACCTGTAATACTGCAACTTTTCCATTTATTGATTCAGTGTCTCCAGACTGCACCTCTCTTGTGAGTCAAAATGTAAGTTGCCTCCAGGGTTGGGTTAGAAGGAATGACTTAACCCCTTAGATAACCCAACTTCCTTTTGTGCTGACTGTCAGCCAATTATATTGGCCTAAACCGTGAATCTTTCCCGTATTAGAATATGTCTCCTTCCCATCGCAGACAGCCAGAGCAGGGCTGGGAGGACCAGGTGTATGGCTTTGCTCATTAAAGAGCCTCTGGCCATCAGCTTCAAATATCTTTCAAAGATTCTTTCAGGGAGCCCCATTATAGCTTTTCAAATAAATAAACCATGGCAGTTCCCTGTACCAGGACTAAAAGCCCAAATTCCTGCATCAAAGGAGTAAGCTTGGCTGTGATGTGGGGGTGGTACCTAAAGGATAAGATACTGGGTCCTTCTCCATCTCCCTCCTCCCCTCTTTCTCTCTCTTTCTCCCTGCATTCCTCTCCCTCTCTCCCTCCCCTTTCTCGTTTTTTTTTCTTTTGTTTTGCACCTAGCTCAAAGAAAAGGTTTTTGGGGGCGAAATCAGCCCTGCCATGATTTAGTGAAGATGTGCAGGGGCGCTGAGAAAGTAACTCAGTAGAAATAGTGTAGGTTAACAGGAGGTTTAGACTCTGGGCCCCACTACTGCTAATAGACTAGCTGTGTAAACTTGGGCAAAAACCTTAATCTCTCTGTGCCTCTTATTCTGTCAAGTGGGGTTGGGGGAGGAGGAAGTGGTAGATTGGATGAAATCCTTAAAAACATTCTCTTTTTGATGGAAATGGGCTTTTAGCAACTAGTGATGGAAAAGGCCTGGTATGCACTAAACTTTCCTACCCACCTTCTCGGTAAGGTAGAACGGGGGCCCAGACAGAAGCTACATGCTTGCTTGTTGTACCAAGAAAGAAGTGAGGCAGATATTAAGTTTAAATCAATAGTATTACTTGAGCACAGATAATGGAACTATTTTCCCCAAAACTGTTTTGATTGCTGCCAGTAGCTGCTATTTGGTATGAAATCCATTCAGATCCTCAAAAGTCAAAGGAACATACAGTGCATGAAAAGATGTTGTAATTGGCACCATTGTAACTCTATACGGTGTGTGATCTTAGCTGGGAGGAAGGGAGGGTTGTCAGATAACTTGTAATCTAATTTTCTTTGTTGTAAAATAGAATGTTACCATTGTATTCTTGTGGAATTATAATTATACCATCTCAGCCAAATAGAGCGCCTTTCTAGTCAGGTGCTTAAAGAGCTCAATAGGCATCCAGTCAGCCTTGTAAACATAGTAAACCCTGGCTCGCTTGCATTTCTGTCAGCTGAAATTTCCTATCAGCCAGCGTGTCCCCTCATCCTTCCTACCAGGATAAATGATTTTATGCTGGTGAACCTGACGCCCCAAGAGACACTGAAGTACCTTCTGAATCATCAAAGAATTATGAAACCTTCAGTAGAGTTTCGGTGTTAATTGCAATTTATGACAGCCTAATTTTTTGAAAAGTGGTAATTCAAGTGTTGCATAGCTGGTAATTAGTTGGAATAGTTGATTAATCAGACTGCTCTATTTTCTGACCATACTGAAGTACAGTATTTACAGTAACTGCAACACCGGCTCTCCCTGAGAGCCACGAAGCAGGCAGGGTTTGAAAGTAGTATTCTTTATTTTATCTTTATTATTTTTTTATTGAGGTATAATTGACATACAATATTATATTAGTTTCAGGTGTACAACATAATGATTCGATATTTATATATTGTGAAATGAACACCACAATAAGTCTAGTTAACATCTGTCATCAAACATAGTTATAGAATATTTTTTCTTGTGATAAGAAATTTTAAGATTTACTCTTAGCAACTTTCAAATGTGCAACACAGTATTATTAACTGTAGTTGCCATGCTGTACATTACATCCTCATGACTTATTTACTTTATAGCTGGGAGTTTGTACCTTTTGACCCTCTTCACCCATTTCAGCCCCCACCCCACCCCCAATCCCTGTCTCTGGCAACCACCAGTCTGGTCTCTGTATCTATGAACTTGGTTTTTTTTTAAGATTCCACATACAAGTGAGATCATATGGTATTTGTTTTTCTCTATCGGACTGATTTCACTTAGCATAATGTCCTCAAGGTCCATCCATGTTGTCACAAATGGCATGATTTTATTTATTTTTATAGCTAAATAATATTCCATTATAGATACACACACACATATATAAGATATTTTCTTTATCCATTCATCTGTTGATGGAGACAATAGTATTCTCTAGACTTGGCAGGCATACATTATTACTCATTCTGGGCAAATGATCATTTCCAGAACTTATTCTTGAACTTCTACATTAACTTCTAAGAGAAAATAGGAAAATTATAAAAATAGATTATATTTGCTTCTTATGGCTTTGCAATCCCTAGGGTCATTGCTGATAACTAGACTGCTAGCTCTAACAGTAAAGGTGAGTGTCTCTAAAACTGAATTTTGTATATTTAGTAGAGCTTCTTTACAGAGATTCCTTAAGGGGAATATCAGTGCAGTAGATTTCATTGCATTAATTGGTCCATTCTAAGTGTGTTACTAAAGGGATAAGATCTTAAATCAATTAAGATTAACTTGATAACTTTTTTTTTAATCCCCAAGTTCTTAATGATGGGATCTTAAAACAAAAGTATTAGAATTGGTGTTGTGCTCAGGTTCACTGCAAAGAATAGAAATATTCAGGAATATGTAAGAAGAAAATAAAAAATAATCCATTATTCTATCACCCAGAGAGAACTACGATTGCCTTTTGGTATGTTTCCTTCCATTTTCTTCCTATGTATACACGTAAACATTTCACAAAGTTAGCATATACTACATGTACTGTATGCTGTCCCCCACCAACATTATGTAAGGGACATTTTCTAGGTCAGTAAATATTCTTTAAAAACATATTTCATGCTGACCATTTTTATGAATCATAATTTATCAATCCAATCTCCTGTTGTTAGACTTTAGGTGGTTTACAAATTTGGCTTTATAATACTTCAACAAGTATCTTTCCTCATTCGTTTGCCCATCCATCTATTTATTCAATCAATTTTTACTGAGTACTATGTACCAGGCTCTGGGTCAGTAGTTGAGGATATATCATTAATCATAATCCTTCTAATACAGGTAGTTAACATTTATTACCATTACTAACTATGGACCAGGAACATTATTAGTACTAGTATATTAATTATATGAATATGTATTAGTATCATAATCATTCTAATAAGTTAGTATAATAGTATTAACTAATTAAATCCTTATGAGGTAGGTATTATTATCATCCCTATTTTCCAGAGAAGGAAACAGAGGCTTACATAATTGAAGTGACTTGTCCAAAAATCACTCGGTTGGTACTTGGAAGAGCCAGAATTCAAACTCAGGCTGCCTGACTCCAGTCGTGCTCTTTTAACCACAGTGGCTACTATGTCAGTAAAAAAGATGCTCCCCTGCCCCTATGGACATGAAACAATTTTAAATGTAATACTCTTTGAGTTATGTTGATTATCTGACTTTTTGATTTGATTCTCTGAGTATTTTCTTAGGATAAAGTCTAGAGATAGAAATGCTGAGTCAAAGATTATGAATAATCCTAGTGAATAATACTGTGGTTAAGGTCCTAAATGGGGGAGGACCCAAGATTACAAGATTATGTATCTATCTATCTATTAATCTATCTATCTATCTATCTATCAGTCATCTATCCATCCATCCATGCATCCATCCTGGCTCTCTGTTGTTGCTCTACCAGCAAGGTAGACAGCAGGAAATAGGTATAGTAATGATTCAGGCTTGGGCAGGCCCGGGAGAAGGTCTGGGCAATGCTCTTCCTATCAAGGCAGAGTCAGTGGGTGGCTGCCCTTCAGAAATGTTTCTCTTGACACTAGAAGATGCAAGATGGCAGAGGAGAGGCAGCATGGAGAGGAAAATCTCATCAAAGAAATGAGTCTAGATCACAAGTGAATGTACAGCCCCTTAAAATGAATATCATCACAAGAAAATACTCACTAAAAATCACGAGTTCAGTTAAAGACTTTCTTATTTCAGTTAGTATTTAGTATAGCCTTCCTTGCACCTAAACCATAAATTACTCACATAGGGCAAGTGACTATCTGTAAACATTCTTTCTGTTTCTTAAATTCCATACTTCTTCTTAAGTTCCACTCCCCCAAATGGACATTACCTGTTCTTTGCCAGCTTTCTGTGATGTAGTATCATGTAATAGCAAAAACACAGACTTGGCTGGCAGCTGAACTAGGCGTAATTCCTGGCTCTGCCGCTAACCTGCTGTGTGGTGTTGGACAATCTTTTTAATTCTCAATTTCTTCCTTTTAAAATAATACAGAGTTGTAATGGCAATCAAATGAAGTGCCACGAACAGAAAAAAATAACAGCTAACCTGTATTGAGTTCTTATTATAAGTATCACAAAATAAGACACTCTTCTGTTTAAAATGCATACATGTACTTATTCCTCAGAATAATCACATGGTAAGCTGGATTCTAGATAGCTCTAGGGCTTTCACCCCTGGTGTTCCTTCTGTGATTATGTTACATTATGTGGCAAAAGGGACTTTGAAGATGTGATTAAGGGACTAATCAGTTGACCTTAAGATAGGAAGATTATGTAGGTGGGCCTGGATATCACAATCATGTAATCACATGAGCCTCTTAGAGAGGCTCTTTTTCTCTCTTAGAGAAAAAAGTTTTCTCTGGCTGTTGGCAAGAAAAGAAGTCAGAGAGATTTGAAGCATGAGACAGACTCAAGGCAACTGTTGCTTAGAAGATGGAAGAGGTCACTTGAGAAGGAGTCTGGGCAACGTCTCCAAGTGGAGGGTGGGCACCCTGCTGACAACTAACAAGGAAACAGCGACCTCAGACCTATAGCTGCAAGGAACTGGATTCTGTCAACAACTTGTGTTTGAAAGTGGATTCTTCTCAGAGTCTCCAGATGAGAGCCCAGCTGGCTCTGTCTTGGTTTTGGCCTTGTGAGAGCCGAAGCAGAGAAGCTCCCCAAACTTCTAACCCACAGAACTGCGAGATAATAAATGGGTGTTGTTTTAAGATGCTAAGTTGTGACAGCAATAGAAAAAGAATACAGACTGCATGCAGTAGCTACCTTTATTCTTATGCTTGTTTTGCAGATGAGGAAACTGGAGCACAGAGAAGTAAAGTCACTTGACTGAAGTCTCACAGCTATTAAATATCAGAAGTGGGATTTAAATTGAGGTAGTGTGTCCCCAGAGCCCACAGCCTAACACGGCGACACAGTGCCTGAGACATTTGTAGGTACTCATTGTGTGTTAGTTTTCTTTTTCTTTTTAGTGTAGCTTAGAGGGCACCTAGCTGCCACAATTCCCGAGTTTGCTGCTGGTGGGGCATCTGGTGCTTCGGCAGTGGGCTTGGGATAAAGATAGTATACTTGGAGCATTAGTCTTCCTCGTGGGAGTAGGTCTTTTTATATTATAACAAACCTGAATATTTCATAGGCTAGAATGCAAAAGATAAAACCAGAGATGTCAAAAAAACTTTGTTTTTGATGATCTCTTTACTACGAAAAATACTTGACTGAAAAAAGTTTGAGAAGCACTGAGCTGATATATTCAAACTAATTTACACCTTTCCTTCTTATTTTATCCCCTAAATTCACAGTGGGTTTGCTGTACCAGCTAGAATTCTGGAAAGAGAATCAGGAAATCTGGACCCAGTTATTCATCACCATCCATCCAACCAGCCATCCGCTATTCATGGAGTCAGACAATAATTTGTAGAGTGCACCTATGTGCCTGGAGTGTCTCTAAGACAATGTGACTTGATGACGTAATACAAACTCTTCTAGTTCTGCTTCCTTGCATTTAAAACTAGGTGATATAACAAAACTTTCTCTGTCTATTACCAATTGAATGCTTTTACAGTTCTTGTATGTGCTGACCTCCAGATCTGACAAGGTAGGGTAATGTTTCTCAAAGTCCAGCCTGGGTACCACCTGCAGCAGAATCTCCTGGGTGCTTAATAAAAAAAAAAAAAGCAGATCCTGAGGTTTCCCCAAATCTTCTGAATCAGAAACACTGGGAGTTGGGGACCAGGACTTCTGGTTTTAAACAAGCTCTCCGGGTTATTCTCATGCACACTTGAAGTTTGAGATGTACAGCTATATGGATGCAAAATAAATACCTAACATAGGTCCTGTGTCCTAAAAATATCTCCCTTGTTAAAAGACAAGCGTTATAGGTTTGGAGAGAAAAACAGGGCCATACGTTTCTGTATCAGCTTCCTGGCCAGGCTCATTCGTCCCCTACCCCACCCCCATCCCAGCCAAGGCTGTGATTCTGGAGCATATCTGGCCCAGACCCTGTGCCGACAAAGTCACCTTTCCTCTTCTGGGGCTTGCTTGTGCCTGGCCCGTTCATTAAGAGGGGTCAAAGTGGACGTGAGCTGGAGGTCCCCCTCCCAGGCTTCGGGAGGCTTTTCCCTTTCCCTGAGGCAGGGTGGGGCTGGCGCAGGCCGCCGGGGTCCCCTGCAGGCAGCTCGCGCCTTGCAGCCGTAACCCGCCGGGTCAGCCGCGACCTGAGACAGCCTTTTCCACTTCCTCCGGCGCGGAGAGGGGAAACTGGGGAAGTGGGGCACCCCGGCCGGCCCCGTAAGCAGACGCTCCCCGGCCCTCGCCTCCCGCTTTCCGGCGGAGCGTCAGGCCTCGGCGAGCGCTGTGGCTGGAGCGGCGGTGCCCGGGGACGGGCCGCCAGTGCCCGCGCCTCGGCGCTCTGCCATCCGGTGCCCTTGCCCGCGCGCGACGCCAGTCCTGCGGCGCGTTGGCCCTCCCGTCACCCCCTCGGCGGGGCCCTTCCCTTTGCTCTGGTGACAGTGACATTCAGCGGGAAAGGCTAGCGCAGACGGCAGCGCCCCGCTCCCGCGGCGCGGGAGGTTGGAGCGGCGGACCCGGCCGCGCGTGCTCGCACCCCGCACTACGGGCGGCGGCGGCAGGGCAGCAGGCGAACTCGCCCCCGCCGCGCCCCCGCCCGGCTCGGCTGCCGGCAGCCCCCAGCCCCGGGGCGCGCTGGCCGGCCGGCTGCGGGCGACACCTCGGCGCCTGGGCTCTCGCGCAGGGAAAGGACGGATCCGGCGCCTCGGGAGAGCCCCTGCCTCACTGCTCGTATATGGCAAAGTTTCTCGCCAAGCTCCTGGGCTGCACGTTGCTGAGCAAGGGCGCCTCTCCCATGTGTGAGGTAGGTGGAGGGTGTGTCCCCGCAGCGACGGCAGTCGGCGGCGGCGGGCTAAGCCCTGACCGGGGGCCCTGGACCGTCTCACTTGCCTGGTTTCCACCTGCAGGTCTGGGGTGGGGCGGGGAGGATGGCCAGGGGGAGGCCGGAAACCCGGGAGCCTAAAATCTAGCTCCTCTGGACCTCCGTGAATCTTTTTTTTTCCTTCCCTAGTTGACAGGCGAGCACGTTTTCTGTCAATCGAGTTTTGCGAGGTGCTCTTTACCTAAAAGGCCAGGAATGTCTGAAAATGAGCGGGATCCCGCAGTCCCTCTTTGCTGCCTACTTTGTTTCTTCGTTTTTCCTTTTCATCTGAAAAACAACAACAACAACAACAACAAAAACAAAAGCAAAACAAAACAAAATAAACCCAGTACGTGCAATCTTCAGGTCAGAAGGCTTCCACCTTGCCACCTCCTCTACTCCCCTCCCCCAGGCACCAGCACACCGCAAACTCCACTGAACTTAACTCATTTCTTCCTTCCGGAGTGAGATCTATTGGGGACGAGAAGGGTTAAAATGAGATTTACCAAATCAGGTGAACAAATCGCAGTTCTGAAGTCAGGTACATCTAACTGCTCACCTGTCTGAGGTGGCAGTGATGCTACTGTAAGCATCTCTGCAAGGAGTCGTTTATGGGAAGGCTGGCTTGCTTCTCCTCCTGGGGCCAGTGGTGGCATAAACTGTCGGCCGCTCAGTAGGGACCGGCGTCACACTGTGCACAGCCCCCCCCCCCCACCTCTACAGTGGGAACAGTGTGTGTCCTTTGTCTCTGTCTACTCCTGCCCTCCCTCAACAGGCTGCCTCACAACCAGGCCTGGGCCAGGGGAAGTTGGCTGCGACCTGCGTGGCTCTCCTCACTCAGTCCGAGGCCCTGGCAACTTTCCCTGCCAGCCTCAGGCTGCTTGGGAGCTGCTGCAGCCCTCTGGCCTCAGTTTCCTGACTGGCCAGAGAGAAGCAGAATTTGGTCTCTTCTCTCGTGATGCAGGAGCTTGTCCTTCAACAAGCCAACTCTTCCAGATTCAAGCTCTTAGTCTCTTCCCTGGCTGCTCTTGACTCTATTCTCGCCTCTGGCAGCTGTAGGTATTCTTACCTTCTGAGGTCCTTTGGTCACCTTCCTTTGACTTTGGAGCTCATGTTGTTCAACCCAGAATCTCTGCTGCGTGACAAGACAGTTTTGAAACAGGGAGGTCCCAATAGTAGGTGATGAAGAGGAGCTGGGAAAATAAGAGCAGACTGGGAGAAACCAGACTGAAATACCTGGGTACTCGGTAGCCCGAAATCTCAAAAGTAGTGAAGAGCCCGGAAAAGTAAAGTTTTCCAGGCCTGCAGCTAAAATTAACTGTCTCCTTCGGCATGTGGCATCTCTGCCCACTTGCTTCTCTGTGACATAAATGTTAGGCAGCATTTGGGGGTCGTTCTGGAGACTGGACGTACTCTTTTAAAATTGCTTTTCTCTTTGGTTTTCTCTTCACTTGTATTTGGATTTTCGTTCCGAAATTACCAGAACCCATGCCAAGCGATTTCAGTTCTATGTGCTGCCTTTGGCTGTATATTCCTGCCTGTTTTATCCTCCAGCCAATAGATGCCCCACCTTGATTTCTTAGAATAATTGACTCCCAATCATGGCTGGGAGGAGGGGGCCTCAAAACCTAGTCAGAGACCTATTTAGACAGTTAAGAAAATGAGTGGCTGTTTTGTCTTTGAAGAGCTCTAGGGAGAGGGAATTCCCTCAGTCCTTGGTAAATCCTTGTTTCTTGCTTTGTGTTATTTTCTAACCATCTAGAGGCAGGAGCTACTGTGGCATCTGCTCTCTGCTTTCCACAGGTGATTGATGCAGTGCTGGGTGAATTAACCCCAAACACTTCACCCCGGTATCACCTTTGATCAGTGCTGCTGGAGGAGTTAAGTGATCATCCCTTTCCTACCTGTGGCGGAAAATCTGTGCCCCCAAAGGGATGAATAAGTCAGGAATGTGTTTCGAGGATGCTTTCTCCTCAGGCAACCACCCCTTCAGCACACTCTTAGTCATAAATGAAGAGGCAGTGGTTGAGAGCTCTTGACATCTGGGAGGGAGAGAAATGTGTAAGAAAGAGATTCTTAAGCCTTTCTAAATATTCCTTTTCTAAAAGTGAAAGTAGTGCTAGGATATGAGAAAATTTTAGGCAGCTTTTCGTTTCCACTGAATGCTCTGATCCTAACTTTGGGGGTTACCTTTAGTTTCAGGGAGATCAAGAGCAGAGATAGATGTTTTCATGATGCGTGGCCTTTGGTTTCATTTTGGTTAGGAGGTGGCCAGAATGCAGTTTCTTCCTACACAGGCCAAGTAGGTTTGCACAGAGGAGATTCTGCCTGAAAGAGTACTGAGTCCCGACAGGACCTCCGGTGTGTTTGCAGTTGTCTGACAAGGGAGAATGGGTGACAGGCTATGGAGAACATGGGAGCAAGAATTCACCGTGGTTGAAAAACAATGCCAGTGCGTATCCTGCTGTGTCATCTTCAGAGGTTAAGGACAGATGATGTGCATTTGAAACACAGAGTGTCTCCATGATCATTTTGTTAACCTTTTTATTAGTATTTAAGTTTACAAACCAAGTCTTTGAGAAACAATTTTAAAATTTCAAGAAAAAAGCAAAGGATGATAAGTTTACCCCCCAGCCACAGCAGCATCCTGAGCACTGGGCTAGATGTTTGGAATAATGTTTGCACTGAATCAAGGCAGAGGTCCCGCAGAAAGAGTGGGCTTGCTGTGTATTCTGACGTCTGGAAAGGTAGGACATGCTAAGCACACGGGTAGGTGGTTTCAGACCCAACAGGTCCTACTTATATGTGTCCTGTATGCTTGGATGGATGGATGTCTGGCCCTGGCATCCATTCCTTCCCCTTCAATTTCTGACATGTTATGAACCTGACCCCACCTCCAGCCTCAGTGTTGCTTTGCTTTGTGCCTCAGGGCTAGTCAGTGATGGGGTCTGGTTCCAGGACAGGAAGTGGCAGGAGAATCAAATAGTCAGAGGTGATGGCTTTCTCTCCTCCCAGAGCCCTCTTCCCTCAGTCTGCAAACGTGCATCTTTAATCCTGCCATCCTACACCATCTAACCTAGTGGGGCACCTTTCAGGAGCCACATCTGTTGGGCAGAACACATCTGGCTCCACAGAAAAGGGCTGTCAGTTCCATGCCACTGTCATGGATGTGGTCTCTAGAATTGTCACACCTCATGTACGTTCTACTTATTTCCACATTCTGTTTTCTGTCTCCACCAGTATTGCTGCCTAACTGTAACTATAGTTTTATTTAAGTTTTTACGTAATACATAATAACTATCATTTATTGCCTACTCTGGGCCAGGCATTGTTCTAAGGCCATAATATACATGATATCAGCTCTCCTCTCAATAGCTTCACAGTTTAGGTGTTAACAACCACGTTTTACAGATGAGAAAATTAAGGTTTAGAGACTTTACGTAATTTGCTTAAGGTCACTCTAGTAATATGTGCTAGAGTGAGGATCTCAAGGTTCCCCTCCCTCCTTCAACTATAGTTACTCAGTACTTAGTTTTTTTGCTTTGTTTTATTTTTTGTTTTCTACCTCGGCTTCATTTCTAGATATACTCTTTCTCTTTAGAAGTAGGAAAGGCAAACCCTCATTCCTCCACATTCTTTCTTTCATTCTTTCACTCCCATTATGTTACCATTGGGATGGCATGAGTACCTTACTCCTGGAAATGTTCAATCCAAGGCTGATTGAACTCAGAAGAATTGTTAAGGGAAAGATTCAAGTTCAATCGCCGTGACGCTTTACAGATAGCGTCCATTTATGGAGCATTTCCTGTATGTTGTCCTGTCTTATTCCCCTATAATAAGGGGAATTATTATTTCCCCTTATTAATTATTAATTATTATTAATAATTATTAATTATT